GGTGTTTCTGTATAGTAAGAGAGAAGAAAATAATCCCTAACTTGTAAACGTTGCTAGAAGAGGCTGCCTTTGATCTCAGAGGCTGCTAAGAAAGTTGTTACTGAGTAATTGACTTTGGCAGCACCAATACTGGCTTGGTGGAGGCTGGAGACACTTTGAATTACCATTTTACACCCCCTTATGTCTCCTTTTCTACTTCCATCCTCCCAGGGGGTTGAGGAGAGAGCTGTTTGGGTTTTCCTAGCCTTCATTTAGTATTGTGAGGCATAGTGTTCATGTTCCCCAAAGTTTAGCAGAAGCATTTCAGAGTATGAGACCAAGGTGTACCGCTCAACATCCTTAGGCAAATGATAAGGAAGAGATAAACCCACAGGTCAGGGAGCTGGGTGAGAACGAAGGAGAGGAGAGAAGATTGTGGCTACAACAACTTCATTCTCTTGGTGGCATAGACAGGAATCAGAATTTTTTAGAGGGTTCTGCTTGTTACCTGAGTTATAATAAATCAGTTGCTTCACATTTAGTCTGTTTTCTCATCTACAAAATGGTTGTATCAGTCAGGATGTGCAGTGATACCACATAACCCCAAATTTTCAGTGGCCTAAAATATCAAAGGTTTATTTCTCATATCTTCCTAGGAGCTCACTGGGGCTGGCAGGGGACTCTGTGCTATATTGTCCCCACCCAGGCTCTTAAGCTGATGGGCCTCTGCCATCTGGTATGTTGCTAGTAGCCATGGCCTGGGGAAGGGAATATGACGAATCCTATAGGAGCTATTAAAGGCTTCTAGGCAAAATGGTGTGTATTCACTCGTATCTCATTGGCCAAAATAAGCCAGGTAGCTTCAAGGGGGAGAAATATGATCCCACTATGTGCGTGGATAGTGGCAAACCAGAGTCTCGGGGAAGGCCCTGCTGGGTGTTGATCACCCCCCTGGTGGTCCTGGTGGAGCCCCATATACATAAGAAAATACTGGAGGGAAATGAATGCTATTTGGGAAAAAGAATTATTAATGGATTTATGAAAAAAAATGGGTGAGTCTTTTATCATTCTTTTAAATGTCTATAGTGTACTTAAAGTTCTTTTTTTTTTTGAGACAGAGTCTCACTCTTTTGCCCGGGCTAGAGTGAGTGCCGTGGCGTCAGCCTACCTCACAGCAACCTCAAACTCCTGGGCTCAAGCGATCCTCCTCCCTCAGCCTCCCGAGTAGCTGGGAATACAGGCATGCACCACCATGCCCGGCTAATTTCTCTATATATTTTTAGTTGTCCAATTAATTTCTTTCTATTTTTAGTAGAGACGGGGTCTCGCTCTTGGTCAGGCTGGTTTCGAACTCCTGAGCTCAAACAATCCGCCCGCCTCGGCCTCCCAGAGTGCTAGGATTACAGGCGTGAGCCACCACGCCTGACCTGTACTTAAAGTTTGAACTTGAAAATTGGAAAGTTTATGTAAATGTTAATTAGTAATCATAGAAGTACTACCCCTTTGCCTGTCTGGTTGCTGTCAGTACATTACCTTTCTGAGTGAGGCTTTACTGGTGCGCATGCTCACAGGTAACTCTTCCACGGAGTTGCAGAATTGAGCTTGGCCCAGCCTATGTCCTTATGAAACAGAACACCTGAGATCACCTCCCACCCTGGTGAAAAAATGTTCTCCCAGGCCACAGACACTCTGGGTGGTGAGAGGCACTGGGCAGCGGTGATACTAGGGTGTGGGACCAGAACTGGTCCCCGCTGTAAGAGGCCATGCCTGCCTTGTGGGAGGTCGCCAGAGCAGGAGAGGCAACAGTTGTGTACAGAATGGCTCGTCTGCCCTGGGCGACACCCACTCATCTTCCACTTGTCCCGCACTCAGGGGCCACCTTCCTGAGGATGACTCCTGTGTGATTTAACTGGGGCTGTTTATCAGGTGTCCTGTCGGGTTTTCTTGGCTCCTGCAGGAGGTGGCTTGTTTCGTCCTGCACCCCGGCCCTTGCGGCAGTTGCTCTGCTTTTCCCTGCAGCTCAGTTTAGAAACACGGAGAGGATTTTCACTGGGCTTTGAGACCAGCGCTCCAGCTTATCTTCGGCTGGTACGATGAGTGTGCACAAAGAACTGGAGCCATGGCCGCTCAGCCAGTCACACATCGGGGGCTGGCGGTTTGTTTTGATGATTATTTTCCACTATTCTCTTTTCAAGAAGAGAAGACTCCCCAGTGTACTACTCTACCATCTCTTCTCTGCACCCCACGCTTCCGTCCGTGTTTCTTGTTCTCCCGAAGTCTGGGATTCTTTGTCCACCTGGGAGCTGTAACCACAGTTCCCTTCAAAGTATGTGTCATAATCACCTCCTCCAGGGCACCCAGCACAGTCCTGTTTGCATAATAACAAAACAAGAAATCAAGGAATGTCTGATATTTACAGAGGGAGTATTAAATTATAGAGGCGGTCTGCCATTTTCTAAAAACATTGAAAAATACAGGAATGTAAACCAAATAAAATCTTTGCTCTCAGCTAAGAGAATTTTTTTTTTCTAATATATTCTTGTTGCTTCTCCCAAATGAACCCTTGAGTTGCAAATATACAATTTGAATCTTTTTTTCCTCCTTTTATGTACGAATGTTATTTGGTCTGACTGAATCATCAGGCTTCCTGTTACCTCATGTTCATACACGTGCCCTGCAGGCAGGCTTTGCAGCTGGAGTTGGGCGGAGATGGTGCAAACCCGAAGCCTGCTCTTGTTCTCTGTCTGACATCCTGCAACCTGGGCAGCCCCACAGGACCTTCCCTTTTAGGCAGCTCACAACAGTTGATAGGGATGCCGAAGGGTGGTCTTTTGGTGGTTACCAGTTGATCATGTGCCTTTTTCTTATGTGAACACTGGCACATCTTCATCGTTAATCGGCTTTTGTAGTTTCTTGTCAGCCTAGGTGGTGGTAGTGGCCTGTTGAGCTATAAGACTGCAAAGAAGGAAGAAGGGGTGGGGAATTAAGGGGGAGTGAGAGCTCACTGATTTGATAAGTGGAAGCATTTCACATTATTTTGTAGCCCTAGAGAACTGAATATAGGAAACCAGAGGGGAACTAGCAATGCAGCAATGTAGGTGTCGTGGCATAGATGAGATCATGGTTGGAAACTGGGCATTGTCCTATAGTCATGTTACAATCTGGAACTGGTGGCCTCTGTGGATGTGTTCACTACATATGCACATGTTCACACACACACCTGAGGATGGGAGTAAGAGCTCATAGATATTCTGTTGTTGGTGTATGTTCCAGAGAAATATGAAGCTTTTTCATTTATTCACAGAGACTGTCTTTGAAATACTGTCATTTTGTAGACTTCTCTTGTTCCTTTCAAAGTGTGGTGGATGAAAAAGGCCTAAACTCATGGTAAGCATATTATGGCCTGTTACAGTATTGCTGTTTAGGGAAACTTCCATGTAGATGTGGCTTTCACTCAGCCTCGATCCCTGCCTCTGTTGCCACTTATTTTTCATGTGCCTGACCTGGAGTGGAGGTTATTTGATCTTTCAGGTTGTCACTAAGAACATTAGTTTATGTCAGTGTTTTTCTGAAAGTAATTGTCCCACTAAGGTCTATGATACAGCATTCGACAACCTCATTGCCTCCGATCTTGTTTCTGGAGCTCTGAGTAACCTCCAGGAAGTTACACTGGTACTGACCAAGCAGTTGAGGTGTGGTCCCTACCATGATTTATACCAATGTATTGGTTAGACTTCTTTGTTGAGTGCTTTTGTTTCAGTATTGAGCTAGGCTTAGTGCAGTGTTCTGCTTGTCTTTGAAAGCTTTTCGTCCCTGTTATATCACTGGACCTAGCAGATTTAAGGAGGGAGGGGAGGGCATTGGAGGCAGTGGGTGAGAAGCCATACCCCTTCCGTGCCTGCCACCAGGCCTGGAGGTGCAAACTGCAAAGCTGGCGAGTACATATGGCTCTTGGCATTAGGGAAACCTTGTTGAAAATGAAATGAAAATTCCTGTGCTGACAGGAAATTAATCAAGGCGGAATGTAGTAGACAAGGACACAAGCTATACACTACTTCTTCCATCACTGAGGAGTGTTTTGTTTTTATGTAAATGAGATTAAATGCACGGTGACAGGTGGGGGGGTAAGGAGGGTAGAGAGAAGGGAAAGAGGCGAACAGGTTCCTTAGGATTTAAACTCTGGCTCCAAAAATGTTTTTATAACATCTGCCTCTTCATCAAATGCTGAGCAAAGGAAACTCATCAGCCTCTTTTGCTATTATTTCTGAAAGCAGTCTTCATGACAGTGTGATTCATTCCATGGCACTCACGGATTACCCGCAGTGAACCAGGCCGTATGCCGGTGCTGGGCTAAATGATGAAAACACCTAGTCCCTGCCTTCCAGGAGTTTATATTCTGGGAGGAAAGGATAATGGAAGGCATTACATTTGCAGCTAATCCTGCCAGGTAAGACATGGTGTCATGCCATTTAGGATTATTTGGTTGAAAAGTAGCTGAAACAAACTCTGGCAAACTTCAGCAAAAAGGGAGTGAATTGGTAAAAGGGAAACTGAACTGCCATCAAGGAACTTGCGAAGGAAGCTCTGAGGATATAAGGTACCAGGAACTAAGGGACAGTCTCTTCAGGGCTGTTGATGAATCGACTCCATGCAACCTTAGGTCTGTTTGCTCAAGATTCAGTTTCCCAAAAGAAAGTGACTGATGGCTCCGGATGGGGCCACTCACCCATTTCTTGGCTAGGTGAAGACAGCGTACCTGGTTAGTCGCCACAAAGACTGTGTGCAATGGCGGAGGGACAGTTCCCCAAAGAGAAAGGCAAGGACTCAGATGTCCACTAGGGGCACTGTAAAATTGAGCTGTTGATGTGATCCTGGGATTGCCAGCCAACAAGCTGGCGTGTGTTTTATTCGGGGCATACTCAACGTTGAGGTTACAATGGTTTGCAGCCGTAAAACTTAGACCCACCCGCCTCCAGGTGCGTCGACTCATGGGCATTTCTGTCCTGTTCTCTTGTTCCCAGTGTGAGCAGTCCCACCTCATGAGAGAGCATGAGGATGTGCAGGAGCGGACGACGCTTCGGTACGAGGAGCGCATCACAGAGCTGCACAGCATCATCGCCGAGCTCAACAAGAAGATAGACCGCCTGCAGGGCACCACCATCAGGTATGCGGGCTACGCTCTCTGCTTTCTCTCTGCGCCTCTGTGCTGTAACCTCGGTCTTGGAGATGAAGTCGCCCCTATGAATCATAATGATGTTTTCTTTGCAACTAAAATTTTTACCGTTTCTAAAGTACTTTACCTTTGCTTGGTTAACCACGTGCTTTCACCTCCATTATTCTGTTCTGATTTTGATCCTTACACTAGCCCTGGAAGGTAAACAGGATGGGGGTTGTGATCCTCAGTTTATTGATAGGGTATAGAATCAGAAGTTGAATGAAATGCTTTATTAACGAGTTCTAAATGGAGCTCCCTCTGTCCTAGAGCCTGGCATCCTATCACCCCCGCCCTTTTTTCCACCAGGTCTGCTCTAGATGTGCAAACTGTGTGCTTCCCTTCGAGATTTTGAGAGATTTGTTAATGTGGCTTGTAATAATCCAATTATGTTTTAAGCTTACCTCAAGTTGCTTTACCAACACTGACTTATCCTCTTACCAGACACCTAAGGCAGGCGGCAAGATTCGATCCATCGTTTTACTGGTGAAAAAGCTGGGGCTTAGAAATAGTGAGTGACACTTAACAGAGGGCAGAGGTGGAGTCAGAGCCCACAATATCTCTGCCTTTACTTAATTTTCTTTCCGTGAAAGTGACTGGTAGGGATTCTGCCATCCTGGCTTATCAATAAGATAATAAGCCCCAAGTCTCCTGCACGCAGTGCTTAGTAGGTTGTGTCTACCCTGTTGTTCAGAGCAGGCATTTGCTTTAAGTGACTTACTGAGCCAAGGATGAGGTCTTTTTTATCTTCCTGGCTGTGCTTAGGGGACAGCCTGAAGAAAGCAAATGTTTGGCGCCTACCTTTTCGGAGAAAGAGTGCTTTGTTCACTAGGTGTTTATATGAGCCACAAATAAAACAGCTTTAGAGGCAGATACTTTAAACTCTCCTTCTAGAAGTCAGAGGAAACTTTGGATGCATTTTGTTCCAACTCTGAAAGTCACAGTCATGACAGGGCTTCTTGATGAGGGTACTAATGGGAATTTATTTTCATGGAAAAATTTGCACTGAGCTAGCTGGAGCCATACAATAAACTTCATATTTTAATTTAGAACCTCAAGGCTTTTAAATTGTATCCTGGTCTTCAGAATGATTGCAGGTTAGAAATACATGAGCAGAGAAGAATTTTCAGCCCAAAGAAATAATTATAGCAGATTTAAAGGAGCCTGACAGAGGACATTGGCAAATTTGTTATTTCCATTAAAACATGTTGCACTTTTAAACACTTGAGAAAGTGAAAGCAAATGGGCTCAGTGAGTTGTGAAAAAATGCACCACACGTCACCTGGAAAACTCAATTTCAAGATGTTTAAATGGAATGCAGTGGCCAAACTGCTTCACTGTAAAATACAGTGAGCTTGTTGACCATAAACATTTATTGGTGCCTGTTAAAGGAAGATTGCATCTGTGGAGATGTCACATTAAATTCTCCCAAGTTTTCATTATGTAGATGAGCTGGGCCCTCCTTGAGGGGACTCCCTGCAAGGCTGGAAGACTTGTAGGCATGTGGACTAGTGAGATGAAGAAGCTCTTCTCATCCTCTGAGCTCCAGAAGCTAAAGCCTCTCCCCAACCCTCAGCACTCCAGGAAATTGGTTTGGCCTTTGTGTTGGGGTTCTGCAGAGACAGAACCAAGAGTGTTGGATTTATCAGGGGAATTGACTCATGTGATTGTAGAGGCTGAGAAGTCCCATGACAGGCCGTCTGCAAGCTGGAGACCCCGGGATGCCATAGTGTGGCTCGGTCCAAGTACAAAAGCCTTCCTCAGAACCAGGGAAATGGGGTGTAACTCTCAGTCCGAGGCCAAAGGCCTGAGAACCTGGGGGTATGCAGGTGCCAGTCCTGGAATCCAAAGGCTAGAGATCCTGGAGTTCTGATACACAAGAGCAAGAGAAGAGTGTCCCACCTCTGAGAGAGAGAGCGCAGGAGTGCAAATCTGCCTTTGCTCTACCTTTTTTCATCTGTCCAGCCCCCCAGCCGACTGGATGGTGACAGCCCACATTGAGAGTAGATCTTCGCCACTCAGTCCACCAACACACTTCGTCTCCTCTGCAAACACCCAGGCTCACCCAGAAACAATGCTTAGCCAGTTCTCTAGGTATTTCTTAATTTAATAAAGTTGACACCTAAAATTAACTATCACCGTCTCACCTCCTAAGATGCTGTGATAGGCCCAATGCAGTAGGAGCTAGGCATATACCCAGGGTCTAGAAAATTGATTGTTATACTGGTCAGGTACAATGTTTGTACTATATAGATTTTCTTGTCACTTGAGTCTGGCCTGAGTTAAGAATTTATTGGAGAAGCTGAAAAATCATTAATAAGGAAATAGTTTATGTAAGCTATGGTATTCCCACATTTAAGCAATAATGGATTGCTTAAAGAAAGAAAAAAACAATCTCATAGTTTTAAATTTTTACCTCAGGTCATAGTCAAAGAACCAGGCAACTTCTATGACTATTCTAGACTCCCCCATCTCTTATAACCACAGGCTAATGTAGCCAAGAATCAGACACTACAGGTTGCTGAATTCCAATGTAAGTTAAATTCATAGCTACATCACATCACTTCAGTGAAGATTGAGCATTGAAAGGAAAAGATGAAATGGTGAGAATCTGAATGAGGACATTTGGGTAGATTCAAAAGAACTCAAATACCTGGAACAATACCACAAACCAAAACAAAACAAAAAAAAAACCTCAAACACCTGGAGCCTACAAATCCCACTGTTTCCCTTCCTGCACAGGCAGCCCTCCCTCCCCATGTGGTAAAGCTAGTCCTACCTTGCTTAGAAACTATGTAATGACCTCATCCCAGCTAGGAGGTGGCAGATATAGTCATGTCCTATTCCTACTTCATTGGTCTTTATCTTTAGGCCTAAAAATAGTCAAATTTCATCATGCCTCAAGGGGATAAATAGAAAATCCAACCTGGAAAGATACAGGTAAACACCAGAAGATTTATAAGATTCTGTTTGTTTATATCCCCAGAAACTTGGGAAATATGTGTGGGATTTGGACCTAAGGGTTCTAGACCAGGGAGGGAGAGATGCAGTGTTGGATTGATGATGAATTTATTGATATGACTGTTTGTACCAAAGATTCTGGATTCAGTGTGTTAGCTCCAACAGTCAGAATAACTGAAAAGTGGCCTCAACAGAGGACTCTACGTTAAATGGTGTTGAAACACCAGAACTTCCCTAGTAGAAGGAATTCAGAGGCCTTAGGAGTTGGGAATGTTGGGTGGGAGATGATGTCATTAAAATGGGGTCTTTGGTGCCACTGAACTACTGGAGTCGATGTGGGCTTGGTTACTGTGTCAATCAGTAGGGCCACAGTAGTAATCAAAAAGGTTTGACCTGTAGGGATGGGATCTTTGGTAGTGGCTGATTGATCATGGAGTCTCTAGAACTGACATAAATGGGAAGCCTACTGAAGTTTTATTTGATCCTTGTGGGGAAAAAATAAAAAAAAACCCTCTGGTCTGGTGAACAGAGATTTGAATCACCATCACAATGGAGAATCATGGCCTCTTACCCAATTCTTACTGACTCAGTTCACAGACCCAGAGCCCCTTGGATGAGGGGGAAGATGTATACAGCCCTGCCACAAGTAGATACAGTAGATCGTCCTTCTACCCCTTCCAAAGAGAACTGCAGCCACTTACAAGGGAGACTGTGCAGTGGAGAAAAGAGAGAAACCATGTGATTATTGGACACTGGCTCTGAGCTAATGGTAGTCCGTGGAGATCCAAAATGTGTAGTCTACAAGTCAAAGGGGGACTTCTGAAGGTGTGTCAGTCAGCTTGGTCTGCCATAACAAAATACCATAGACTGGGTAGTAGCTAATTCAGTTCTGCTTTGAGACCTCTGTTCCTGACTTACAGATGGCCGCCTTCTTGCTGTGTCCTCACACCCTCACACAAAGGGAAGAGAGAGAAAGAGAAAGCAAGCTCTCTGATGTATCCTCTTAGGGGGTCACTAATCCCATGACCTCATCTAAACCTAATCATCTCCCAAAGGCCCTATCTCTAAACACCATCACACTGGGGGTTAGGGCTTTAACATAAGAATTTTGGTGGGACTCAACTTAGTCCATAGCAGAAAGTTAGATGACAAGTGGCATTATGGCCTGAGTCCATATGATAGCAGACCTAGTTATGGCACCATCTGAGAGATAACTGTTTTCAGTGCCCTGGAGATGTGGTAAATGCTCCTAACTAGTAACAGTATATGGTGCTGCTTTTTTGGATCCAGGGACCAAATGGGGAAGTAGAAGTGGCTCTTCTCATTCATATACCTTAAAAACGCACTTCAAAAAATTATTGTTTCTATTACCCTGATACCAAAATCAGACAAGGACACAAGAAAAAAGAAAACGACAGGCCAATATCCCTGATGAACATAGATGCAAACATCCTCAACAAAATACTAGCTAACCAAATTCAACAACACATTAAAAAGATCATTCACCATGATCAAGTGGAATTAACCCCAGGGATTCAAGAATGGTTCAATATATGGAAATCAACAAATGTGCTACATCACATTAACAGAACCAAGATCAAAAACCATATGCTAATTTCAATAGATACTAAAAAAGCATTCAGTAAAGTTCAACATCCCTTTATGATAAAAACGCTCAACAAACTGAGTATAGAAGGAAAGTACCTCAAAACAATAAAGGCCATATATAAAAAATCCCACAGCTAACATCATACAGAACAAGGAAAAATCAAAAGCCTTTCCTCTAAGATCTGGAACAAGACAAATATGCCCACTTTCACCACCATTATTCAGCATAGTACTGGAAGTCCTAGCCAGAGCAATCAGACAAGAAAAAGAAATAAAGGGCATCCAAATTGGAGAGGAAGAAGTTAAATTAGCCTTGTTTTCAGACATCATCTTATATTTAGAAAACCTTAAAGACTCCACCAAACAACTGTTAGAACTGATGA